AACTTCTTCTCCTGAATGTTCTCTGTTAGTGGTAATACGAATTAACGCCAGAAAAGAGGATTACTCGTCTGATACTTGATATGACATACATACATGGTATGTTTCTTATCAGCCTTGTATAGGTGATTTGTGTGACATCATTTATGATATTAATAAGGTCATAATATGAATCTTACTTTATTAGCTATCAGATATAACTTGTTGGTCATTGATGTATTGTTATTCCGATGAGAACCCTGCCGAGGAGTCGCTGACTCGTAGCAAAGACAGAGACTGACTCATCGTTCCAGGTCGCCGATCATCCAGAGAGCATGAAATAGTCCTCTCTATCCTTACACAGTCATTAGTCCCTCCAGTCCGCTCTGTATCTCCAACATCTGCCATCTCGATGTCCGTTGCCTTATTCGTGAGGAAGCCTACGCTGCGTCCACTTGGTGTAGGATGGTATGATTCACCCAACACAGAACATGTTTCAGAAATCCACACGCCTATATTCGAATTGATGTACAGCCAAATGTTAGGAAATTACTTATCTGAGATCCCTGGAAGTATGATTGACGCCTACTTTGTTCAAAATCCACGCCGTTTGAAACCTAATCTTCATCCTCGAGGTCATTAATTTTCACAACAGAGTTCATGGCGTTAGCTCTTTTTAAAAATAAATAACGATGGTGTTAAATTACTCGAATTTCAAGCAACGTGAATTTAAGCTTAGGCAGCGTCCCATTTTAGGAGTACAAGTTAACTCAGCAGATCTCTCGGCAACCTCCTCCGTAATAGTTGAGGAGCAAAACTGAATTAAAAATTTATATTCTATTCATTTGGAATGAGAGAAATTGAATGACAACAGTCGTTTCTACTTACAAAGTCTGAATGTTTTATTAATATTTTAACGTTAATGTAAGTTTTAATTATAGAATAGGATAGTAAAAGCAACTTTATTCTGGGACAAAGTTTCTTAAGAATAATAAATGTGTATAAAAATAAGTAAAGATTATTTCTGACAATGAGACCTATATTTGAAAATAAATAAAAATATATGTAATCATGTACATAGTTATAAAGAAGTATTAATATAACAAGTTTATATTATAAAGAGTACATATAACAAGTTAAAAAAATGTGTTATAAAAAAAAAGAAGAGATAAACGTAGATTTGAAAAATAGAAAGTGCGGTATATTTTAGTTAGTAAAAATGAATTGCAGATACTAAATAAATAAATGAATATGGTAACAACATAAATATATAAATTCTTGTAACAAGATTTGAGAGTCTTTGATATAAAGGTTGTGGGAACAATGCAGTATTGATTGAAGCGAAAAAACAAATTTTAATAGCAAAAAGTTATGAAAAATTGGCTCCCTGAACAAATATAAAAATGTGGCATAGTATCCTGTACAGATTTAGTAACAAAAAAAACAAATTTTATCCATATCTAATCCGGACCAAACCTTCAACAAAGGGAATGTTAAGATCTTTATGGACAATTTTATTTGGGACATGATAAGGAACTTTAATGATTTTATGTAAGATTTCGGATTGGATACCTGAAAAAATCAATGATTTTGTGGAGCCCCAAAGATCAATTCCATTATCCAAAAGGGCCTAATGATGGTAGTAGCCCATTTAAAAAAAAATAATCTGTGCTAAAAGCGCTATAATATTTGTATGTATATGAAAAAACAAATAATAATGAAAATAAAGCTTTGTCAAGTGCTGAATGATCATTTAAGTTGTGATTTATTTGCTAGGAGGGATTGGAATAGGATTTATAAACATGGATAAGAAGGTATGCCAGATTTTAATGGAGAGAAAATTACAGAAAGTGGTTTAGTCAATAACAAAACCCGGGGTTTGGAGTCAGTGATTTGAGTTTTGGCAGCGCTTAACTTGAATTCATTTGAGTTAGCCTAGGCCCTGAAATGATCTGACTTACTGAATTTTGACAAATGCTTCTTATAACTCTTCTGAAGGAGAAAACAATACGTAGATTTGGGAGTCTTTGATATAAAGGTTGTGGGAACAATGCAGTATTGATTGAATCGAATAAATAAATTTTAATAGCACAAAGTTATGAAAAATTGGCTCCCTGGACAAATATAAAAATGTGGCATAGTATCCTTTACCTTCGGAGTACAGATTTAGTTACAAAAAATACAAATTTTAAAACTTCTGGAGCATTGGCTCCCCTGAACAAATACAAATATGGAGACATGGTGTCGATACAGATTTAATTAAGTCGTTAATATAGGAGCTGAAAAGAAGAGAAGTTCCTCAAGTCCGTCGTTGCATTATAAGTCGATATGTCTAAATGAAGACTTGATTTCCAAATCTTTGAAAAACTCAATGGTTCTAAAAACATTCGCAACATGTATATGACAATTTGGTCTCTCAATGTTTTGGAATATGGTCTGGTTGGTATACTATCAAGTCTGATGTTACAATCAAATTTATTTAAGACGACTTCAAGAAAGTGTAACTCTTGTAATTCTTCAATTTTAAAAATAAAAGACAAAAGATCATGCATCGCGTGAACTCAGCGCTAACATATAGCTAATTGTTACATCGAGATACGGATCTTGAGAACTACTTAATGGCAGAATATGTGTCGATGTAACTTCGGTTCAACGAATAATTTAGCCAAGGTAATTGATAATTAGCGTTCTAAAAGAAGAAAAACCAACCCTTGCCTAGTAGATATGCATCTGTGAATCCTCCACACACAGGATGCTGCATGTTTCCCACGCGTAACCCCGGCGATGACCGCGGAATAAATACGTGCTGAATTGAGTAGCGACCTTGAAGGAAGAGTTGGCAACAATAGTCGATTTGGCTCCTTGGATCTCATTAACACAACACCAGGGGTTAGCGTAATATTACAACAACTAACTACAAGAAGCATGTCTCAAAGTAAATAAGAATAAAATAATGTTATAGTAATAGCGATTACTTCTATATATATTCCTTTTGTAGCAAGACAAGACTGTACCGCCCTTCCTTAATACCGCCAACAACATAATCTGTAAACCTGTGAAGGAGTAGAAAGATGCATGGAAAACTTTTAATTATACGGAGTCCACAGCTAAAAGAAACAAATCCAGTGCTAAAAATAAAAAAATTAATTTATTGATGTTTACAACTGTATACACATATACAAGTAAATCTGTTAAAATGTTATAGAATATGATTATACCTATCGGTAACACATCAAAAATTAGATCAATTTAGGAGCTCTTGGCCATCATCTTTTCAGACGCCTCAGAGGGCTGTAAGTAATGGTTTTGGATGAAAGGTTATGAGCTAGAGGGTTGAGGCGAAAAAATAGTTTGGAATTGAAAGAGGAATATCTAATTCGGACCAAATCTTTAACAAAGGGAATGTTTATGAACACGAACTTACCCTCTTTAATGAACACTGACTGTCGAGGCCTTCTGGTAACTTGCGTTCTCTCTCTGCACTATACCACCGCAGGTATTTATGGAAAATTTTATTTGTGACATAATAAGGAGCTTTAATGATTTTATGTAGAATTTCGGATTGGGTACGTGAAAAAATCTATGACTTTGTGGAATTCTAAAGCTCCATTCCATTATCCAAAAGGTCCTAATGATGGTATGGTAGGAACCATTAAAAAAAAAAAGATCAAATAACTTACTTCATCCTCATCAAGATAACGTAAAATATTATAATGGGTAAAAAATATGGGAGCTGCTATTACTAATTTCCGTCCTCCCTTGCCTCTAGCAAATATGGTAGCTTGTAGTAAAATAAGAGCATTTATTAAGTTGTAAAAATGAATCATGGAAAGTTTAGTTGAATAGATTTATTATAATTCATTAAATATATAGCGTCCCGAGTGATTAAAGGTAAAGGTCGGAAAAAAAGTTATCAAATCACCTTTTTTAAATAGCGTGTTAAACGTTGGATAACTTCTGAGTGGCAGAAGATCCAGCTTAGATTTGTGTTTTGAATAAAAAAGACACTTATTTATGTCGATATGTTTGGTATATGGAAAGTTATCTGCCAGGCTTCAACTGTTTCATAAGATACATCTTCGGGATCCACATGTTTCATTCTGGTACACCGACTTAAAGTTGCTTTATTGAATAATTCCTCAATTCCTCCTTGGTATTTTTATTTTCCAATCAGAACCGAAAACTATCTCTAAATCCTGGGACTTCTTACTCTACGTTCCTCTATCCACTCTCTCAATACCAAATCTCAACCTATAGATTTATATATTCCCTTCCATAAAACTATTTCCTTCAGCTAATCCTTCGTTATTCGAACTAACTTCTCTTGAAACTCTCTTCCGATCTCCATACGTCAATCCTCGTCCACAAATTTCTTCAAACAACTCCTGTTCCACCACCTACTCTACATTCAAACTTCCCCTAACATGTAAAATTACTTGCATCTGTACACTGTTTGATTTTAATTTACTGCACAATTGCAATAACAATTAGCAGTTAATTAGTATGTATTTTTTATTATTCCAAGCCCTAATTCTCAGTCTCAGAATAAAATTATTTTTTCATTTTATACTTGTTACTTGTTTAATTATTTTATATTAATGATGCACCATTTATAATTGGTTACTTTTTTTTTTTAGGATATTAGTTAAATATCTGTGGTCTAATCTTGTTCTGTCTCGATGTTTCCTCAATTTGTGGAAAGGTTTCTGGTCAGTTTTTTACTGCTATCTAAAATCAAGGCTTCGTTGCAAATTTATAAATTTAATGCTTTGACCTATTTTATTACATTTATGGTTTCATTGTGTTTCCTCTCGAATGCATTATTACATTTAGATCTCTGATGATCATGAAACAAGTCTGGATGTAGATAGATTGAGTCCACTACATTATAATTGGAGTACCACATTTAAGGAATTATTTAGCACTGATGAAAGAGGTCATTTTTTTTTTTAGCTAATTAGATCTCAAATTTGTTTGATTAAATTCAATTTAAATTAAATTAAAGGCACTCGATACTTTTTTTGTTACGCTTTATTCCAATATATAAAAATTCGGGCAGTCGACCTAATCGAAAGCCTCTTTGAAATCCATGCGTTAGCCGAATAACTCTCCTCTTCTTGGACCATGAGAGATAAAAGCATTTGCTTGTCTTTATCCGATGTGGATACGGGGACGCGGTTGAAAGTGATGGCATTATGTAGGCCGTAAACTCCACACGGCGGTATAATAATAGACTTCTCAAGTACCGCTACTCCAAACTCAACAGGTGGATTGAATTGCTTTCCATTCACTATTTGCTATTGCTACATTCAATTCTACATAATTATAAGAATAAAAGCTTTATTCATGGCGTAGTATTTTGTTAGTCTTCTAGTATCTGCTTGTTAAAAAAACTATGTTAGTACCAGATGGAACTAAAAAAACAAAATAAATATTTTACTTCAAACAAAAAAAATCTATTCTTCATTTCATCGGAGCTCAAGTTTGAAATTCGTATTAAATTATTGTTGAAAAAGAAAAATCCAACAAATAAGTGTCTTACTTGGATCCTTCATGCAATGCACTCGATGGTCCCATTATTTGGCATATTGATTTCGGTAAAAACAAATTACAAACCACTTGGACCACCTTGAAGAGATCTGTGCTACATAAAATAGATTCTAAACAAGAATAATTCAGTAAAATAGACGCTCATACTGTCGGCCTATTGAACTATAACCAATGGCCAGCCATCGGGAGATTACAAAGTTCTATGGGTGTAATTGACCTATATTAAAAATGTTGGTAGTCAGTGAACACAGAACTTGAACCTCTACAATTTTTATTTTTGAAGCTTTTGCTCTTAGAACAGGGGTGCCCATCCCCCCCCCCCTCCCAAAGTCGATGGTGAATGAACCTTCCCCTCCTCAAGGTATTTTGTTGCTCCCCTCTTCTTAAAAATAGTAGAAATAAAAGTACCATAAATCATATACAATTACACTTGCTTAGTGTTAGTTACATCTATTCCATTTGTCTTCTTGTTTGAAACTTTTCAATCCGTCAAAATGTGCCCCCTCGAAAATTCAAAATCTCGTAAAAATGTGATTGCGTACTCCCTTTTGGGCACTCCTGTCTTTGAGAACTCATGCCCAAACTGCAGAATCGTTTATACCAATATGTGGTATCACATTTTAGCAACAATTCCTACTTTGAGTACCCTTTTTAGGCGTTGGCTCCGTGGATTGTGATACCGTGCATCGATTAAATCTCTAGGGATTTTTCGTACCTCGTCTACTCTAACTCTAATAGCTGTTTCGAACAGTGATTGTTGGCTGAAAATTGTTAGAAAATCGCATTTTCATGTATCTTCACACCTGTTGGATATATTTGGGTGGTGTAAAACGGCTACCATCAATGAAGCATTAATGAAGGAGGCAGTGTTTCCCATGAGCAGTGCCTACTTCCGGAATCGGCCGGCTCTACACTCGACTTCCCCCGGGTAACTACCCTCCACTGCTAACATCCTCCAGGGGTCGGCTATACCATTTGTTATCCTCTTCAGGGTCCGCTGTCTTTCGCCCAGTCTTAGGTAATTGGAGTCGACTCTTTAGTTCCATTGGTACTCTCTATGCTTGAGTGGCTTACACTGTAGTGAACCATGGCTTTGCTCTGATATACCGTGAAAGATGAAATTCAATGGAAAATACTTCCTAAAAGTTTAATAAAAACTTATTTTAAAAAAATGAAGAAAACAATTGTAAGAATATTATTGTAAAGTTTCATAATACCCGTAGATAAATAACTTAACAGAAACTTTGCCAATTCGGATATGGTCAGGACAGAAGTTACAGATTAAAGACCGTACACTTCATATCAACATCCAAAAAAGACCTATCAACTATAGCTATCATCACTTTAAATTATTTGCTGTGGCGAAAGTTATTTTTGAGACTTGAAGCTTTGTTTTTAGAACCTTCCAATTCGTCCTATGTGTTGCATTTTCTTTTCTATTTCTGTATTTTTTTATACTTCATATAATACGGTAGTGTAGATTTCTTTTCCGGCTCTAAGGAGTGATGATGCATTTTGACGAATGAGGTATCGAACGAATGGGAATTTAGTTTAGCAGTGACGAATATGACTATTTCAAAAATTAAAACTTTACTATAAATACAATGTAAGTCACTGCAAAAAATAAGAGGTTTCAAAAATCAGAAATGTTGATGAATCGAGGCATGATATGCTTTGTTTTAAAGATTTTTAAACGGACAGCAAGACCTAGTATAGTTCCTTGGGGATTTTTAGGCCTTTACTTTGTAGCTATAAAGTATTCCGTTTTCGAGATAAACCATAATTTGAACCTAAAGCCTCTAAGATTGCCATGGGATATCACCTGTTAAAGTATTAAAAATTAAAATATTCCTATTGATAATGAATCCTTAACGAACTAAAAATCTATTTGAAAGGTAAATGAAGGATAGTGGCTCTTTGATCGCTTAGGCATCTCGGATAATATAAGAAGGAACTTCGTGACATTTTTAATAAATAAAAAATATCCTGATATGGCTTATAAACCTTCAATAATAAACTTCTATGCTCAGAGTAAATGAGAAAACAACAAACCAAATAAATAGGTATTGCGAGTACAATAATCGATTAGTTTAAGTTCAGGAATAGTTGTGTATGATTGGGTGACTATTAAACTGGAGTGGGACAAGCTAATCACTTATTAAATAATTGGTTACTTTAACACATGGTTACTTTTACACTTATAGTAAAATATGAAGCTTCACCAGCTGTGTATATTGAATAGACTATTTTGATAATTGTATATATGAATAAACATGTTTCGCTGATGTAAATATGAAAACATTGTGGAGAAGATGGTTATCCAATGTGAGTGTTCTCTCTGGGTTATTCTAGTTGAGATTTATGTATGGCGATTTTACTCATTTTAAAATTTAAAAAGGAATGGATCTTCTAATCAAAAATGTATTGCAGCGAATATGTATAACTAACGGAAATTTATTTTCTTATTAAATATTATAAATTATTAAATATATATTTTTTAATATTATTATTTCGCTGTTGTTCCATTCAATTTATTTTTATTTATCGTACATATGGTGTGAATGAGCTCGTATTAGTAATAATCTTAGTTGTGACAGAATGTAATATTATTAATAATTGGTCCGAACTGCCTTTAATATCTACTGCTGAGTTATATTTTAACTTAATTTAATTCTTGCCAACAGTTTAAATTTTAAGTGTATTTTTTCTCATGATTACGTGATTATTATATTTGTGTTTGAATCGCTATTCATATGTCAACTATAATAAATATTTTTAAAAATATTTTATAGTTACTTTTTAGGGAGAAATTGGGTCTGAAGCCTTTCTTTTTTTTTTTTTTTTCAGTTTATGGCGGCGTATCAATCCTTAGTCCTGTCATGCGTTATTTATTGAGGTTATCCGGGTTTAACTGTCGTATTATTCTTTTGTTTATTACATGGATTACCTTTTGAAGTTTTTATGTTCCTTGCCCCGCCTTATGGGTAACTAAATCCCCTTTTACGTTCCTTTATCCTATGGTCTAGAATAGGAAGAAAAGATAAATTAATTTCATTTTTCTTTTTCATGTTTTATTCATTTTATAAACGTAATATTTAATTGATCTTTACCAACAAAACCACTAATCATAAGTGTCCTAATAGTTAAATTCAATTCGTACAATAAACTATTTATAATTAATTATAATTACTCAAAACGTAAAAGAAAAGTATATATAATATTTTATTTATCGTAAGATACAATATATTTTATGGCTCGAGTCGTTAAGATAAGTGTGAATAATAGATTTATGTATTCATATTATGTATATGTACAAACATTATTGCCTTCAATTTATTTTTATTTTTTTTGTCTACCACACGCCTTTCAATTCTGTCAAAATAGGCAAGACACTGCATGCAATGGTAAACTTGCGAAGATATTGTTATTATATGAGGTTATTAGTATATCCTTTTAAGGAGGGCAACTCAAAGAAGAGGGGAAAAGAAATTAGTGATTGTTGGCCTTTATTTCCAGTTCCGATCCAGTAAGTTCCATCTGGAAGAGGAAGAACATCTAATTATGACTCACCTGTGGGAACTGGAAGAGACTCCATGTTGCATTTCCTCCAAGTCCTGGGAACCAGCCATCCATATTGCTGCTAACGACCTTCTTAACATTGCTTATCACTTAGTAAATAACTGATAAGAAACCTTTAATTATAGTCACTAAATAGTCTTTTGTCTATTATCAACACCTGGATTTCGAAGGAAATTTTAAAAAAATCATGTTGTTGTATGTGTAAGTTTATGTGATAATGTGCGGTCTTATTGTGAATGGTTTCCTGTGCTCAGCAACCCGCGTTCAAATCCTGGGTGGTACAATCAGTTCGTGCTTGACAGACATTGATGGACTTTTTCATCTGTCAGACGTTTCCTGGGTCTACTCATCCCCTAAATTGAGTGCATACATTTTTTATTTTATTTGTATTATAAAAGGTATTCCATTGTTGTTGATACCCATTTGGGTCTTTTGTGTCTATACCCCTGGTCTACCTAGCACCCCCAGACAAGCTTCAAACTTCCTCGGGTCCTTCTTTGGAATCAGCTTAGTGTTAATCTTTATTTTTATATTTAAGTATGATTATAATGTAAAATATAAATAAATTGACTTGTTCATTCGATGATTTACCTATGCCGTATCGAAAATCTCATCATATTACTGAGATTAATATTTATTAATACTGTATTATAATTATTATTATAAGAAGATTCGATAAAAACTATTTTATTTTAGATATTCTTCGTAACTATTATGGACATGAAAGGCCCCGGGTGTTCGTAGTTAACTTCTCACGGTTCCGTTACGACCGTCAGTTTCATTGAGGGAATTGTTACTCAGAATGCAAATGTATTCTGCAATCATAAAAAGGATCCCACATTCAGTTAATTATGTAGTATTAATTACATTAGCATGTTTTATTCTAATAATATGCTAATTATATATTCGGTTAGGGCGTTAGTTCCATTTTTAGTTCGTTAGGGAGAAAGCTTAAGATTTCTGATTTAGCCATAGAATAAACTGATGTACAAAAAAAAAATGTGATTAGAGGATTTTATATTTATTATCAGTGGAAATTTTGTGCTAAAAAAAATAAACAAAAAGAAAATTTACAAGTATGTAGAAGATTGATAATTAAAGAAGTGGAGGAATCTATGTGTTTTCAAGAAAATGTAAAAGCAACCTTTTAAAAATACTTAGCACGATTGATATAAGTTGACGGATTTTAAGAAGTAGGGAACCACTGAATTTTAAATGCGGGGTCCCTCAACAGCTTTATGGACCAAGATATCAAGGGGGTTGGGGGAGGGAAACTGAAGGATATTTCAATTTCAAGTATTAGGGAGTACATAATATTAAAAAAAAAAAGTTTAACTCACTATTTTTATTTTGTAGACGTCTTAATAGCGGTATTGTACATTATATTTAAAAATAAACTTTAGCATAAACTAACAAAATATTAATTAATATAAAATTGGGTCCTTTTATTTAAACCTATTATCTCAAAATATGGCTAAATTTACTTATGCTATTGACCTTAGCTGGAGAACTTTTTTCAATGAAATGGCCGTTTTTTTTACTATATACTTCACTGTTGGTATTCTTATTTGTTATAGCATATAAAATTCCATTTTCAATTTGTTGTAAACTATATTTATTGATTTTTACAATTGCTGGAACTCAAGTCATTTCATCTTTAATCAGTTGGGGCGAGCCAACAACCAATTCCTATCGTATCCAATCCTTACAATCCAAAATCTTTCGTAAAATCCTTAATGCCCCATATTTTGTCATTAATAAAACCATTCATAAAGACGTCAATGTTCCATATGTCGCTGATTCAGTCCAAGCAAGATATATATCCTTTCATGACAAACTCTCCAGTTCTATCCGAATCCAATTGTTTCCAGCCTTGCTTCTTCCTCAATTCCTTATAATCCTCTTAGGCGTCTGAAAAGATGATGATCTCGTGATCTTCTTACTTAAAACTAATTAGAGAGTGCTATCATTGTGTAGTGTCTCCACAAGTCTGTTCATGTCAGAATTCCTCATGTCAAAACTCTTGATTTCCTCATATTTAATAGTTCTATTTATTTAGTACAGTTATATATTTCAATAAATAAAATCTTTAATAAGTGATTTAAAAATAATTTCTAAATTTAGAAAATAAGTAAATTTCAGCAGAATTTGTAATGTGATGTAATGCAAATTTCAAAATTTAATTTTGGAATCAAGTTAATTTTTTTCAAGATTTAAAAAAAATGTCATGTTCCTACAAATTTTACGTTTCAAAAAATAAAATTTTACAATTTTTTTTTTAAATTCTCTGTGATAATACTGTTATAAAATATTAATTAAAATTAGATTAATAATTCATTTTAATGAAAATGACACAAAAACTCGAAGAGGCCGTACGTTCCTTACCTATGATTTGGTTCTCATAATTTATGCAATATTCCTCTTCATAAGGTTTCTGTTTATTTTCACTTTTTTATCTCAGACTTTAGGATGTGCCTCATATCATTTGCATCTATATGTTTCATATGTGCCAGATATTTCCTCATGAGTATCTATTGTTGGATATTTATTGGTGCAAACAAAAACCTATTTACGTGATAATGAAGAAAGTGTTCAAAACAATGGACCAGCTGAGTATAATGTTTTTCCAGGGCAATATCTCTTTGTATGTAATTACTCATTCTTCGACAAGGTCTTTTGTATTCCGAGACAAAGACCCTGATGATAAGGTACGTCGGGACCAATTGAAGCGGCCAAGTCCAGAGGCCCTAATTGTCAGCAACCCGAGATGATTTCCCGACAGAGGGAGTCACCTGTTGCGAAGTGGAGCACAACTGGCTAACCCATATGGAATAAAAACGAGTGTTAATTATGAGGAGGCTGTGGGAACTGTAGCTCGGTGTGAACCCGGGGCGCAGTATTGGCTTTCTGATCCTCCTCCATGTTATGCAACTGCTCTGTCCCACGGGACGTTTAGTGGGGCCAGGAGTATCGGACTATTTTCAGACCATAACGCCTACTCCGGTGTCCGTGGTCTAGATAGCAACTGGTCAGTGAATGGGAGTAGGCTCTGGACCGGGCCATCCAGATCTGAGGGAGGGTGCTTGTGGTCCATGAAGAGGACCTATAAAAAGAAATCATAATAAATTGGAAAGTCGGAGTTCTATCTAGAAAAAAAGTATGATTTGTTTTTGTAAATAAATGATAGAAAGAAATTGTTCTTAAACTATATAAATAATTGTTTTAAATGTATTTATAGTAATGGTTATGATATATTTTTAATTTTTAAAAATTACTACTCAATAAACCAAAAATGTGTTAATATTTTGAACAATTATAAAAAATTATATGATTAATTTAAGACAATAAATCGATAAAATCGATGTGCCTTTAGTTATTTCTGTTCCTAGCTGTAGGTTTTATGTTAGCTATCAGAGGAGAATCATATTATTTTTGTTTGTTTCGATGTCTAGGAGCAAAACATTCAGGTCATAAGCGCCCGATCAACTAAATAACACTATTTATTACTGTTTGGATGGTTGGTACAAAAAATAAATATAAAAAAAATAAAGAAATGGATTAATAGAATAAAATAAATAAATAAGGATAATAATAGCCACTTATAGATAATAAGATAGAATAGATAAATAAATAAACTTTTTAAAAATAGCAGTAAAATCAATAAATGTATTGAATCAATTAATAATTAAATTTTAAAAAAAGTTAAATAAATAAAAAAAAAATTAAATAAACCTGCAAAGGATCATTAATTATAAGCTTGTCATATATGTTTTTTTAGTCTTTCACTATCCAGGAACTTGATAACTTTGGTAACGATGTCTTCTTGATTTCCCAGGGATGCTGATATATTCTGGGATATTCCGAGATCTTTTAATCTTGCGGTGTAAAAAGGGCACTCTTCCAAAATATGTTTAATAGTTAATGACTGGTCACACTTTTGACATCTGGGAATAAGATCTTTTGTTATGACTACGTTCCAACTCCATGAAGAATTTTTATAAGACTTAAAATGCAGTGTATCCCTGGATGGTCTGGATACATGTTACATGACGTTTCGGAGACTCATTGGTACGGCGTTAATCTGCTGTGTAAATACTACAAAGATGGTGTATTATTTTTATTTGTAGCCGTAACGGGTTCAGGATTTCAATTTTTTTTTATTTAATAACGGTAATCCGGAAAGAAGGAAACTATTTAAAATATGGTTCTAGGGGCGGGGTAGTCCACCGACCTTACGCGTTTTTTTTTTTTTTTTTTGTTTTTTTTTTGTTTTTTTTTTCCCTACCTCGCCTTTTAGGCTATACGGGATTTTCCCGGGCGGGGGTGAGGGCGGGGAATTTAAAATCCCCTCTGGCACCGGGACGCGAACTCGTACTTTTTATATCATCTCAAATCTCTGTTATCCGGTTACCAGGCAACTAGCGGTGCTGTGCACACGCTTTAGCCTATTCGGGTACCCCGCCCCCTTACCTTACGCGTGTTTTTCACACGCAATTTTTAATAGATTGAAGATAAAATGATAACATAATTACGGGTTCGCGTCTCGGGTCCCGAGGAGGCATTAATCCCCCTTCCTCTCTCCTGACCCAAGAAAAATCCCATAAAGTCTAAAAGCCTATGTAGGGTAGGACAGCAAAAAAAGTTAAAGTGGTCCTTAAAGATCTGACAGTAAAAAAATTATTTACAGTGCCAATAATGCTTTTAGGAATAATTTCATTTCATGGACCATACTTACATTCAGTTGCTGAAATATATTCGTTATAGTTAAAAATAGTATATTTTGATAGTTTTAGTATTAAGCTTAGATCACTCACAGAAACAAATATGAACCAATGAAAAAAAAAATATTTTTTCCATTTTGAAGAGCTTCAGCCCCTCCTGGATCGTACAATGCTTCGTTGTGTTGTCTAGTTTTATCCAATAGAAACCGTTTTTTTTTTTTTTTTTTGTTTATTTAATGAAAATTTACAACTGTATACAAATACAACTAGTAAATATGCTCAAATTATAAATAATGACATGTACAGGCTTGAAGAGATACTACCCAGTGGTAGCACTCCCTAAAAAATTCTAAGTAAGGAGATAACGAGGCCATCTCCTTTTCAGTCGCCTAGGAGGATTATTAGGGATCGAGGAAGAAGCAAGGGTGGAAACAAGGGGATTTGGATTGTACTGGAGTAAATAGAAACCTAAATAACATTTCCAGACCCCATTCATGATTGTTTATTTGTTTCAAGTATTTGCTGATATTTTGAATAATAAAACTTATATTTATTCTAAGACAATATAAAGAGAATATATTTAAAGGACAAATTGTGGAGGCCTATGAGAAAATCGAGGCTACTGGTCCACGAGCTAATGGCTGACCCCTGGCCCCCAGTGGTTAGCCAACCCAGTTCCCTCAACTTTCATAAGTGAACGCAACCTCCAATCTGAGGGGGCCTGTATACCTCAGCTCGCGTCTGTGGACCCTCTGCGGACATAATATCCTCCATGGCGGTGTTTAATATCCGTCCCGTTAAAGTGGTGTTAACTTTAATTCAGCAACTCCTATCAAGAAGAGTTTGGAACAGTATTTCGAAATTGAAATGATCTCTAATAGGCACATGGCATGTTTTGAAAAATTACCATGTTTCCTGAACTCAAGAAGCGCTGCTATAGTTTAGTCAAAAATTGCCTTCTTGGATCAATTTGGTCCTGCGACCTAAAAAAAAAACCTTTTAAAGTGTGTCCATCCTAGAAACTGGTAGAGAATCAAAAAGAAGACGCACTTTTGTAATGCCATCAAGGAAGACTGCATGCGATCCGTCAGGAAAGTCATTGGAATTATATCCCGTTCAGACAGCTCAGTTTTATCCCATGCACTTAAGATACAATGGAAAGATTATCATTAGGGTGAATTCATCACACGAATTTTGTAATAAGAGAGAAAAAGTCGTGGTTTAAACGATCTTGCTGGACCGAGATCCTGGTTTTTAAACCTAAATCAATTTTTTTTTCATTTCCACATACTGCGCGAATTGCTTTCCTTCAAAGACAGCTGCTTAGTTTTGATTTTATAGTTTGTGTCTCCATGCAGCAAGAAATTTTCAATGAGGTAACTCAGCTTATTTTTCTGAATATAATCTCTCTAGTTTTCTAATAATGGGGGAGTGGGGTAGCCCAGTGGTAGGGTACTAAGCTTCCAATGCTAAAGGTCCCAGGTTCGAACCCGCGCGGCTCATGGCAGAAAATTTATTTATCTGTCTCATTAGCCGTGGGGCGACCCTGGATCGGGAGACCCGCCTGGGGCACACCCAGCCCCTATAAAGTGGGTACCCTAAATTAAATAATTAGGTAAGGGGGGAAAACCTGGCGGTTGAATCACCTCCTTACACAACCGTTGACCTAGAAACACTGTTTTTTTTTTTTTTTTTTTTTAAGTTTTCTAATAGAATAATTGATAACTATATTCCTTTAACTCAACTTTCCTTAAAGATCGTTAGGTGTTATCCCTAATTTCACCTATCATGTCTACAGGTGAATGATCAGTCATCAGTCCATTTTACTAACTGTCCGAACCTACTGGAGATATTCCTTCTTCTGTCGCACTTAGTTCTTTGGATTCACTCTTTATTAAACTTACCTCTGACTCCTCCTGTTCCAACTTCTTCCAGTGACCCCTCCTCTTCAGCGTGGAGGAGATCCCGCGATGAGTCTATCCTCAGGTTCTCATAATTAGAGAGCGCAGACAATGGCCTGGGAAGAGCAGCAGACCGTGGCGTGACGTCCTGGTAATTTGGCAGTCAAGTTGGCCTCATGGCTCCTTAGTTCTCGATTTATTGCTGTTCCACTTTATTTATGGCTTCTATTCAAGTCTCTTAGTGCCAAATTATAGCTAATCTAATTCTTATTTTATTCTGTTTATTGCATTGGAATTATTTTTTATCTTCGTTGAGGTGGAGGCACCCTAGCCGTGGTTTCGTATGCAGTGGAAGAACAACTGTTCGAATCCTATCTAGTTCGATCATTTTTTTAGAAGTGGAATTTGTCATACATTAAATTGGTTTGACACCCATTCTAATACGATATAATGAACTCGATATAATAAAGAACTATCTTACACTACAATACAATATAAATGATGCGGTTGCAATCTATATGATTCTGATCTCCATCTTGACCACCTAATCCTTTGTCACCATAAACCTACGGGGAGGAGGGAGGGAGTCTTTCGGGTTGAAGCCACCTCCACCACCCTCCCTCCCCCCCCCCCCAACATGGATAAATATATCCATGTCTTAGGAAGATAATTATCTCTACGAAGTATTATTGTTCGTTAGTTATTTTTTTAATAGAGCTACAAGTATCACTTTAATTCAAGTATAACACCATTTCTCATAATGTTCAAGGAGAAAGGAAGTAATAATTATTACCTCTTTATTATAGTTATGAGAGGCTATACAATTTTTAGTACTTCTGGGTTTATTCTTTTTCACTTTAAGTGTTATCCATCTCATAGCTTAGTACATCACCATTCTGTTCGCTTCGACTCTTTCAAGTTGTGTTACGAATAACGGGCAAAGAGCCACAATATTACCGCTGCATCGAAACAGTTAACCAGCCGACTTGGCAAGAGTCTTAGAAATCCAATTTTTTTTTTTAGAATTGTGTTTTCAACTTTGAATATAAGATTTAAAAAGAAATTATAGAAATATGATGCATTTTTTACCAAACATTTCTTAAAAACTGTTCGTACCTTAAACATATAGACTTTCTCTTCTCTTTCTATTTCTTGAGTATTATCTCTCTTTAAATTACTAAATCAAGCATTAAAAAATGTTTGTTTTATTTTTGTGTTCGTCATTGGAGATTCTGCATGAACGTCTAACAGATTTTGTTTTTAAAAATTTTAATCAAAACAAAATTTAGAATTGAATACTTAATGGTTGACCGTTGTATTATTTTATATAATTTTAAAATTATTTTGTAAGTGTTCATTCTACCGATTCATCCTCCGTGACGCAGTTTCTTTCTTTAATGGATCATTCTAAACTATTTTTATATTTATTATTTTTCGGGTTTATTTTAATTTTTATGATACACAAACCTGTAACTTAATTATTATTTATCAGCCATTATTTGCCAGACAAATCTAGTACTTATTCTATATTTATATTATATTAAATTATAATGTAATTATCATTGTACATGTTTGTTATTCTTAGGGGACTAAAAGTCCCAGAATAAAATTTACTTTCTTCTTCATATCTTCCCCCTCCTCCCATGATTGATCCATCATTTTGAAGATTATTTCTTAGTGTCGAAAAATTAGCATATCCCCCAGAAGAGTCGAAAAAAATGCTATGACGAAAAAACACTTGATTTGCTCATAACTCTATTAATTTTAAAAGTTTCTAGATTCTCTACGAAACGAAAAAAAAAATCATCGGACCATTATTAGCAAAGATACATCATATCAGAATTGTGAAAAATATATATGTTTTTTTTATCTATTTACTTGTTTTTTATTGATTTATTATTAATCAATCTACTTACGCCTTCTCTGTGAATTATTTACACGGATCCTCTAGTGAACCCTTTTTGCCAGCTAGAAAATAAAATGTTTATTAAAATTCGGTCCTTGAAAATTATATTCCTCATCTCTGTTACTACTATTACTTATAGATAGGTATACCTGGTTTTCCTTTTTAAAAAAACGTGTAACGAGTTGTTGCTTAAAACTGTACCGCAAATAAAAAATTTCCAACGAATACTGACTGATTCGTTTAATTATTTTTGCTGTTAAAAACCTTGGCCACAAAGTTTAGATTAAAAAAAAAAAATTTTAAATTATATATACAAAAATTATATATATATATATATATATATATATATATATATATATATATATATATATATATAATTTAAGTATTGTCACTGTTGTTAAAAATAATATATCTAAGTAAAGTGATTAGTCAATTAGTTTGTGAGTTTTCTCCTCCGTTACACTAATTACACCTTTAGGGATATATAATAACTGGCTATTAGTGACCTATTACTTTTAGTTAATTGTCTGTGAGGAAACAAAACAAAAAAAAAATTCTGCAAAATATCTGGACGTTTATTTTACTGATTATTATTACATTTAACAGCAGCATGATTATAATAGCATTTAACAAAAAAAAAAAGAGTTACCCTGTTAATATTTTTGTGAATAATTACAATTTGTGTTCGTGTGTGTGTGTTTTGAGGTCGTTTTTAGGTTAACTTCATTATTCTTTGTTATACATTTTGCTAAGAAGAGTTTCTCAGGTCTTCATAATAAAAAGGGTCATTAATTAATGAAAACTTTTGGAAATAAATATTCTATGTTTATTATTTATTAGTTGTTTTTATTATGTATTTATTTAGAAATATAATAATCTGTCACGTGGACAATAATTATAGTGATACATGAAAACATTCACACCATATATACAGAAAATATAAAATTAACAAAAGTAAACTAATAATAAAAAATTATGTACAATAAAAAAATAAAATAACCTAAAGATAAGTAAATTAAAAAACATAAAAACACAGTCATACCTATATACAATATATACAATTAGACAGAGAACCCCAAGCCAGGCTTCTCTTTCCAACTATAGAACGAAAAGCAGGACTCCAAGAGATCCCTGCGCTACTCTCTCATCCGCGTCACTGGTGTTAAAGCCAGTGGAGTTTGAACGATTATTTATTAGTAAATTATTTTTTAGGTTACGTTTTGATAGGTTTTCTTGTTCAACATATGAGGAGAATATATAAAATCAAATACATAATTTAATTAATTTATAAGTTTGCTTCTTTCTCTCTCCTTCTACACCAACTAATGCAACTTTGAATTGCCCTCTCACTTATCTTAACAACCTGTCGAGCTCTATTTACCTGTAATTAACCACGGACCGGTAATTTACTAATTACCATTTAAATCTCTAATCAAACCCTTAGTGAGAGGGGAAAGCTTGAGGCATCGACTTCTCGTTTTGTAATAGCCCATGTTAGAACATTGATCATACTGATGGACTATGATTCATAGGCGAAAAAAAAATATGAATGAAAATTCTACTAGAAAAAAAAATGAACATGCGGGTATGACTCAGTCTGTACAATGACACACAACAAGAAACGTAAGAAAGGAGTTTACTTGATAATAATTTTACTTGTTAGATAAAAGTTGTTATTACAACATATTTATTGAGGATTTGTCAAATAATTAGTCTCTCGTTGTTACGAAGACACGTATGTTATAATCCCATCTACTTCTCGATGTATGAATCAGTAGTTGTATAACTGTCTGATAAAACATTTCGGTTTCATTTACCCCTTCAGACCCATAATAAATTAGTACCTTTATACTGCACAAATGTTCTATATTATTATTTTTAAATTTTTTTTTGTCATTTGTCATTTTTATTTTTTAATTATTTCATGTTATTTTTTATTTTTAAACATCTAAAAATATTATGCTCTTTTATATTTTTTTAAAACTTTTTTTGATTGATCTACAATGAAAAATATAATCATAATTTTCAGTATGGTATATTAGTGTACAGTAATATTTAAAATATTGTTTTATAGTCTTGAACTTTTTTTATTGATTATTTTCTTCTCATTTCTTGTCTATATGCAATTTAACATTAATCAATTACAATGTTTCTGCTAAAAACTTTTCATAGGAGAATCACTGCGAAACCTAAGAAAAATAATAAAACAATATAAAATAATCGATATAATACAGCTTTAAGCAACTAGTTTTGACATTGTCAAATATAGGATTAAGAAAAGAATATAAAAAGAAAAATGCCAGAACATTTATTTATAAAAATATCTGAGACATACATAGGCTTCAAGTAAGTAGGAAGTAAGTTTCAATAAATGTTAAAAATTATTGTTAAAATTAAATTAGTAATGTTATTATTTTCAACAAAAAAGTAAACGACTGGTTCAATATAGAACCTATAATGTATTGTTTTTATAATTCTGGATACTGAAGAGGAAAAAAAGTATTTGTGAAACGTCTAGTTTAAAATAATAAAATATTAAGAGTGGTTGTTCATTAAATAGCCAAGAAGTGGGGAAAAAATTAATATTTATATGGCATCTTATTTTATGTAAATTATTTATTTTAAGCAATGAACCAAAATATATAATGGACAGCTATCAATAGATATAAAATAATCACAGAGGTTAAAAAAAAAAACTGTAATTGATTTACTAAATAACAGAGTACTTTTGTGCACGTTATCTTACAACATTCTCTGTCATGTTTTCTTTTTCTTTTTTTTTCTTCCTCTTCAATTCGGTATTGTTTAAAATAACCGAAATTTCCCAGATCCTCGTTCATTTCAGACAAAATAATTTACGTAATTCATTATTGACGAAAACCTTGGCGTAGTTACTTCCCACGTCTGGCACAGTAATAAAATGACATATAGGATGTAATTTTAAAGCGCATGCTAAACTTCTTTTCAATTGTCATTTGATCAATTGTATCGCCTTGAATTCGTGTGAATCTTTATTTGAAAAAAATATATGTTGCTTGAAGGACAGAGGAGATGAAATGTTAACTGTTTTTTCATTACTAGGGGGTAATCCCTGTCCGCTTAACGGCGGACCAACCCCCCATTTTACAAATTATACAACTGTTCATTTAATTGCACTCAAATTTTATAACTGTAATTTTCAGGAGTACCAAGTGTATTAACCAGTGTATGTGAGATTGTTATTTACCAGCTTTCTTTTGTGT